GGTGTTTTGGTCCCATTGAAGGTTAACTGATAGGTTAATGCAATCCATAAATGAATTTAACTTTGTCACGTGTCTCCCAGGGCAAACATATCCTGATCTTCTAAGGGAAGGATGAACTGAGTGTAAATTTTCCACATTGAAAACATAGTAGCTAACCTTCCCTTTCATCCTCTCACAGTTCTCACATGTGAATTTTAATCCTAACTTCAAAATTTCCCAGTTCTTCAATTAAGGTGACTAATAGCTCCTCTACCCAATGTATATATTTTAGCAACTCCCAGAATTTAATCCAAGAAGTACTGCTAAGAAGCTGATGTTTGTAGAAGTTGAGCAACTTGACCGAACACTCCACTGTCCAGTAGTTGGGACTTTAAAAGGGGAACAGTGGTGGCCAACTCATAGGGTCCACGAAAGGATTCCATTAGTTAGTCACTACATGTGTGGATTAAATGCCAACAGCAGTCCTTGGCACATAATTAGTTCTCAGCAAATGTTAAGATACTATTATTGCTCCACATCTAGGGAGTAGGCAGAGTTGAGTTCTGTCTGCATTCATTCTTTCAGCTGATGTTTGTTGAACACCAGCTGTGTGCTGTGTTCTGGGGAGATAGCCCATGGTCTTAACCATTGTGCTTTATTACCTCTGGTTTAATTTCAGGGAAGATGTTTTCTCCCTTTGTAGGCAATTGGAAAACCATGACACCAAAGAGATGATGATTCATGGTCCACCAACATTTTGTTTTGAGGTCCTCAAAATAAGTATCATGGGTGGATATTGCTTAGATAAAGAAAGCACATCTCAACATCATTCTGAGTGATCTCAACATAGTACTGACTTTTTCCTGGAGCCTAGGACAAGAAGAGAATGTAGCTACTAATATAGCTGCTCACATAAAAAAATTATTGAATCTATTGACAGCATGATACTTCTCAACTCAGGAAAGTTTTTCTCAGTTTACTTTTAGAGGAATTGGAGGTTTTATTTAAATTTAGTAAACAAAGCATTGGCCTGTGAAGAGCAAAATGAAATATTTAAAGTGATAGAAAGAAAGAAAGTGAAGTCGCTCAGTCGTGTCTGACTCTTTGCGACCCTATGGACTGTAGCCTACCACGATCCTCTGTCCATGGGATTTTCCAGGCAAGAGTACTGGAGTGGGTTGCCATTTCCTTCTCCAGAGGATGTTCCCAACCCAGAGATTGAACCTGGGTCTCCCGTGTTGTAGGCAGACGCTTTACCATCTGAGCCACCAGGAAAATCATAGAGATAAGTTAATAGAGATCAAGCTTTTTAAAGCCAAAGTTAATTGATAAGAATCAGGTCTTTCTACTAAAGCTGTAGAGTCAAAATTTTTAAATAATATGAAATATGAGATAACAGTTGTATGTGTGTGTGTGTTTTAAATTTATTTTCTTTTGACTGCTCTGGGTCTTTGTTGCAGAGCACAGGCTCTAGGCAAACAGGCTTCAATAATTACAGCCCATGGGCTCAATAGTTGTGGCTCCCAAGTTCTAGAGCACAGGCCCAATAGTTGTGCATGGGCTTCGTTGCCCTGCAGTTTGTAAAATCTTCATGGATCAGGGATCGCACCCATATCCCCTGCATGGGCAGGCAGATTCTTAACCATTGGACCACCGGGGAAGTCCAGTTGTATCCTTTAAAAAGGCAGTGGCTTTAAATTAACATGACTTTATCATCTGGGTAATAATCAGGTATCTGACCGAATAGGCTTCCAGGGTTGGGGCTGCTGTCTTCTCTCTAGGTTGACCTTTCTGATAGTTCATCAGTGTCATTCACAAGCTGTACTCACAAGAAATGGCAGAGGAAGTCCACCCTCGATTGTTCTTCACGGTTCCCTGGCTGTGATGAGTCATTGCAGGACAGCCCTTGCAACCAAGTGCTGATAAGAGTAGGCACACAATAGGAAAATAAAACAACGGAGAGCTGAAGGGGAAAGAGCTGGAACTCAGAAGTGTGTCCACAGCTCTGCTGTATTTAGACCTGTGACCTTGTATAAGTCACAGTCTTCCCGGTCCCTGGGTTTCTCGTGCATAAAGTTTCTAGAGTCTCTTGATGAATTAGGTCAACTTTGGAGTTTAATATTCACTGAGTAAGGTGGGAGACACTGCCCCTCCAGGGGACAGTGATTCGTGATTTGTATAATTATAGTCGCTTTGTTGATTGTTGGAAAAGAACAGTGGCAGATGAGTCAGCCTGGCATGAGCTATTGGAGATCAGCGATGCTGCTTTTGTTGGGGGAAAAAAACCTGACTAAAGCATAAGTTTAGGTGCCAATGGTCAGGGTGATACCAAGCTCCAGAAATAGAAGCTCGGATCTTGGTCAGAGGACAGTATAGAGGGGACAGTGGTCATGGACTTGTTTTCCCAAACCTCCACCTTGAGCTTTCCCTGGGAAAGATGCTTGTGGGTGACCGTGGGGGTGTAGTATCACCATCCAGCAAACCATCCACGCCACACATGTTGCTTGGGAGTCACTATTGCTGACTGAGAGGAGGCAGGTGGTATTTTGAATGTCCTTCCTCTGCCAGGTTTGTTTCTCCAAAACTGTGTGAAAGGAAAACTCCAGTTAAGTGCATGTATTAGGAGCTCCAGTGGCAAACCTCTGGACGAAACATGGGCAGCTCTAGCGACAACCAGATCGGAACCATCCATCCTTTATCCTTCCTCTGGGCGCTTTCTCCAGTAGCCTTAGCAGCAGGAAGAGAATCCCCTTTCTCTCAAGCCTGGACCCAAGCTCGCCTGATCTGCTTGTTCTCTGCTCCCCCACACAGTCCAGCGGGGCCTGCCACCGACTGACGCGAAGCTCTGTGTATTGGGTTGGCCAGAAAATTCGTTCAGGTTTTCCATCAGAAATTGGACTATGAGTGACTAAGCCCACACAGACAAGTTGGAGTGGGGGTCAAGGGAGGCCTGACCGAATTCCAGCTGCCCTACTTCCCGGATGTGGCACCTGGAGTAACTTACTTAGCTTGGGCAGTAAGCATAGTAGCACTCATGGTCTTATGCAGGTAGCCTGTCTTTAAGAATTGCATTGTATTCTGAAACCATATGAAAACTCCCCCTGGTCACAGGAGAGAGAGTGAAGGTGGGGCCAAAAACTAAACCTTGAACTCTTCCTCCCTTCCTCCCTGAGAGGGTGTGATAAACATCGGAGGCAAATTTGACCTCATAGAGATCAGCAGGGATCCCACCTCCTTGCACTGGACTGTTCCCACCCCAGTAAGGACAAGGCATTTCAAAAGCAACAATCTACTTTTAAAAACAAATCTTACACCAAACGGTCATGTGTAAAATGAGTATAAAAGGCTTTTGTTTATAAAAATATACTTCAGTTGAAATTTATAATAAACTCAGTAAGAATGATGAAGCAGTTTCAATGAACAGAAATTTCAAATAGAGATGATAGATGACTTTCATGATCATTTCCCTTTAACATATAGATAAGTAATTGCAAATGGTCTTTAAAAAAAAAAAAAAACAGATCTCCTTCTAATCTAGTGGTATCAATCAGTTTGAAGAGAAAAGATAGAAGGCTTATTATGCCAAAGCTGCCCAAAATATGTAGACTAGCATATATTTGTTTACATTTAAGAGATGGGAATGAACTTTTAAATTATTGCATTTTTTTCCCCAAAATGCTTATACCTTTAAAAAATTAAGTGTGTAAACACCTGAAACCCCTCCATAGAATGCCAGGGTTTGGTAGAAAACTGCCCAAATCACACTCGGTGAGGTCGTAGAGTTCTCACATCTCAATTAGCTCTCTGTTTCCTGTTTGACTGTAGCATGTATGTGTTGGCTTACAGTTGTCAATACTGAAAGCCAAATGGTGACATTTGAATAAGCTCTGCGGTCTGGCTGACAGTGCTGGATCAGTATCAATTGCTCGATTTGATGTTGTTCTTGAGTGATAGAAAATGTTGCTTTGGAGTAAGTTGGGTGAAGAGTGCTTTAGACTGTATACCATTTTTGCAGTTTACTCTGAGTTTATGATTCTTTTGGAATGTAAAACTTCAGTAAAAGGCGTTTGAAAACAACCATCCTCTAATTAATTGTTAGGAGGGAGCACAAGACTAATAGAGTGATGTATACACCACACTTTTAGAGTGGATTTCCATCTATCTTACCTTATTGAAACAAAAGCATCTTTCTTTCTTTGCCACTGAGTCTATATCCTGCACCCTCACTCTGTCACCTACTGTGACACCCTTGAAGTTTTGGAAAGAAAACACAGCAACGGCAAATCAAGGAGATCTCTCTCTTTTGGGAAAACTATTTTAGCTGCTGCTTAATTACTTAATAAGAAAATGGTGCTAAAACCCAAGAGTTCAGTCTGCAGGTACCTGATACACAAAAAAGCTTTATAAATGATGTAATATGTTTTTCTGAAGCATTCTATGCTCAAAACATTACTAATTAGGCCAAAGTAGTATCAACATGCCATGAGATCATAAGGCCACATGTACAAATCCGCATGCCCTGTAGTCCATTGTGATGATGCAGCGTAAGGAGTGTTATTCTACTGGAGAAAAGACAAAGGAGAGAAGATAATTTTAAAAGAATAAACCTTTGATCCATTCACTTCTGTGTGTAAAGTGAAAGTAGTCATGGTGGTCATGAAACATGCCTCTTTGTTCCCTAGGATTTTACAGTGCGCTGTAAATTACTGCTTTGTTCTTTGATAAGATTGATGGTGGTTTTGCTCTTTATCACTTGGAAAAAGGCAAGGGAATTCCCTGAGCCAGCCATCTATCTTCAGTGTAATTGGCAAAAGACTGATTATCTCATGTGTTTTGACTAGAAATGGATTAGTGGGGTTGATCACAGCTATCAGACACCTGCAAAGGTGAACGGAGCTCTGAACAATGCTTCAGCAAATGTTTTAACATGTGCTTGTAGAAGTCCACTAAAAAACCTGTTCACTCCACCAAGCTATGACATAGGGCATTCGTCTGATCGGCTTTTCTGGCTTCTCCTCCAGGGTCATCAATGCTGGGAAGAGCACACATAACGAAGACCAAGCCAGCTGTGAGGTGCTCACTGTGAAGAAGAAAGCAGGGGCCATCACCTCCACCCCAAACAGGAACTCAGCTAAGAGGCGGTCCTCGCTTCCCAACGGGGAGGGGCTGCAGCTAAAGGAGAACTCGGTAAGCCCCTCCTTCACCCCGCTCTCGGGTGAGAAGGAGCCACACACTCTGGCCCTGCTGTGGAATGTTCAGAGTGGAAGAGAGAAAAGCCACGGCCCCAGTGTTCCTGGGGTGCTGGGTCTGGGCTCAGGGCATCACACTCACAGCAAAGGTGATACATGGAGTTAGGAAAAGCCAGTGTTTAAGTTCTCAACACTTAGAGAAAATGCCCACATCATATGAGTTTTGTTGCAAGAATTAGTATGTGTCACGGTAGATGGTTTTAAAGAAGCACTTCAAGGTTTTTTTGAAGGAGCTCATCCTCAGCAGCCTCCCAGGAGGAGTGGAGTAACTAGCCACCAGCTTGCAGCCCAGCTACCACTCTGCCCCTGTCCTCTCCTCGCGTGTCCCTTAGAGATGCACAGTTGGAGCCTGTGCTTGATGCTCTTCCAAATTAATGTTTGTTTCAGTTGGCCCAAAGCCCTTGCATCCTATGGGGTGCCCCTCTGGACTGAATGCCCTGCTGACAAACCACAAAGCATTTCTCCTCCCTCCAGCTTCCGGAGAACAAAGCAGACATCCTTGGAAAGTTCTGAAGAAGCTCTTAGCAGAGTAGAGGGAACAATCAGCACTGTGTCCATCATCAGATTCTTTAGTCCTACAGAAAAGAGACATGAAGTGGGATGACCCAGATGGGACTATTTGTTCCAATGATCTTGAGGATATTTTTGTTTGTAAATTTTTATAGGATTGTAAAGGATCTAGGAACGTGTCCCTTAGTTGAAGTGATAGTATCTTGTTGCATTTATGCTTAGTGACTAAGAAGAATACTCATTTATTTTTATTTTGTTAGCATTAGTTCAGCTTAGGGTTAAAAAACACAGTGACCTATGGAGACTCATCAGTTGTACTTGTTTTCAAGGCAGAAGGAAGCATTGATTAGGCCTGTCCCAAAAAGGAAGAGTCAGGGACCCAGGTGAGAAGGAAAGAATAATAGTGGTTAAGTGCATGCACTCTGGAGTAAGACAGTTCAGAACAGTCTGTTGCTTAAAGCTATTCAGTTTAACAATGTGTGCGTGCTCAGTCCTGTCCGACTCTTTCTGATCCCATGGACCATAGCCACCAGGCTCCTCTGTCCATGGGATTATCCCAGCAAGAATACTGGAGTGGGTTGCTGTTTCCTTCTCTAGTAGATCTTCCCGACCCAAGGCTTGAACCCAAGTTTCATGGTCTCCTGCATTGGCAGGAGGATTCTTTACCATTGCACTGCCTGGGAAGCCCATTCAATTTGGGGTAGTTATTTATTCTTTGAGCCTCAATTTTCCCTGGTCTAAAAAGGAATAATAATAATAGTAATTGCCAAATATGGTGGGAGAGGCTAGTTAGAAGTATGAAATCCAACAGTCCATGCAAAGTCCTGAGCTGGTGTCATCATTAATAAATCCTTGATTGATGTTAGTGATTATTATCCTAAAGTCAGTTCCATTTCTGTAATCCTCTATGAATAATGCCCACTGAATTTTCATTCATCTGTAAATTGGAAATCACACAATTTTTTCCATACCTTCTTGATGAAATTATTTTTGAGGATTGAATTATTATGGAAAAGGGCTCAGAAAATATGAGACATTAATGATAATTAGATATGGGTTCCAGTGACTTAATGTTGCTCTTTCCCCTGGCAGTTCCTCTCTGCCACGGGGCTATAAAGTGATTTCTGTAAAAATAAGACAGTGTGTTGACATTTGGCTGCAAGCCAGTTGGTGATGGCATATTTCCTTGTTGCTAAGTTCCTCCTACAAGTGGAGCCAGGGTTAACTACTTAACTTCCTTTCCTTAAGAACAGTGCAGCCAGCACATGCGCACTTTAGAATGGAGCCGGGGCACTCCTTCGTGATGGCTCATGTGGGGTCCGTGCTCCTCTGGAAGGCAGCAAGGATGTGCAGTGGAAAGCAGGCACATCTCAGCCTGTATTCCTGCCTTAGCCACAGCGGCTTCATGTCTATCTGCATTATATATTAGGCTTCTTATTAGAGTTTAAGGCAAGAGCTGTGTTGCCTTTCTTTTTAATTGTGGAAAAATACACAGAAAGCTTACCATTTTAACCATTTTTAAGTGTACAGTTCAGTGGCATCAAATGCGTTCATATTGCTGTACCATCATCAGTGTCATCCATCTCCTAAACCTTTCCATCATCCCAAACCGAAACTCTGTCCCCATTAAATACTAACTCCCCATTCCTCCCTCCCTTTCCCCTCCACCCCCTCCAGTCCCTGGCAACTAGCATTCTATTTCCTGTCCCTGTGAAGTTGACTACTCCCAATACCTCCTATAAATGGAATCGTACAATTTTTGTCTTTTTGCAGTTGGCACATTCACTTACCATAATGTCTTCAAAGATTGTCCGTGTTGTAGAATGTGTCATAACCTTATTCCTTTTTGAGGCTGAACAGTATTCTCTTATATATGTATATGCCATTTTGTTTATGCCTTCATCATCGATGGACCGTTGCTGTCATCTTTGGTCTATTATGAATATTGCTGCTGTGAACGTGGGTGTCTCGTACCTGCTTCAGTCCCTGCTTTTGATTCTCTTGGATGTGTACCCAGAGTGGAATTGCTGAGTGATACGGTGGTTCTGTTCAATATTTTCAGGAGCCATCATACTGTCGGCCACAGCAGCTGCACCGTTCGACATTCCCACCAGCAGTGCACAAGGGTTCCAATTTCTCTACGTTTTTGCCAACACTTGTTAAGTTCTGTTTTTCTAAAATAACAGCTACCCTAATGGATGCAAAGTGGTATCTCATTTGTGTATATTTCCCATGGCTAGTGATGGTGAGCAGCTTTCCATGTACTTCTCATTGGCCCCGTATATCTTCTCTAAGGAAACATCTGTTCAGGTCCTTTCCCATGTTAGGATTCGGTTGTCTGTTTTTGTTGTTGACGTGTGTGCTCTTTCTAAAACCTTGAAGAGCGTAGTCTCATGCGCCAGATGACTCGTGAGCGTGGGCTGTGTTCTAGGACCTGGATGGGGAGGATTCAGCAGGAAATAAAACAGAAGACAGTCCCTCCCTTCAGGGAGCTTGTGTTCTTTAAGGGAGACCAACAAAATGCACAGCATGGGCAGATAAACACTCCGGAGAAAGCAAAGGAGGGAAGCAGGAATAACAGGGAGTGTGAAGTGCAGGGGTGGTTAAAGGACGTGTCGGGGGTGTCACTGGGGCAAAGACCACAGAGCTATTGGGAGGAAGAGCATCCTGCAATCCCTAGGCAGCTGCAAGGCTCTGAGGCAGGACCAGGCCTGCCATTCTCAGGGATCGGCTAGGAGGCCCACACAGCTGGGACAGACATAGTGGAGCCTGGGTTACAGGCAATGGACTTACCTGGCAACCCAGTGGTTCAGACTGTGCGCTTCCACTTCAGGGGGCTCAGGTTCAGTCCTTGGCCAGGGACGATGCCACACCACGTGACCAAAAAAAGAAAAACTGGATTGTAGGTAACGCTGTCAGAAAGGTAACAGGGAAGAGAGGCAGTCTGGTAGGACCTCAGGCTGTTAGCAGGACTTGGTCTGCTATGCAGAATGAGCAGTTGGCTAGCAGAGGTCACTAAACATACTGCTTAAAAGAGGCTAGTGGTTTTTTCTGTCTGAAGACATCCCTTGACTCATATATGGTGGCACGGAGGGAAGGGCAGTGACGGTACAGGGCTCCGTGCGAGAGAGCATCTGCAGAACAAGAGAGGCAGGCCTCCGCCTTCCCCCGGGACTCTCGTCCTTCACTCCGTAAATGTGTGCTGACCTCCGAGTCCACACACCGGGACCTGGGGCCTGCGGAGATGGATTCAGGACAGCCCCTGACCTCCTTGAGTAGAGCTGGGGAGACAGGAAAGGAAGGCTTCCTGAAGAAGTGACATTTGCGCCGTTGTGCTGAAAATTGAATAGGAATTAAGAAGCCCATAAGAGGAAGGGGAGCTCCTGCTGGAGGGAATGCACATGTGCAGAGCTAGGCTGGCGTGGGAGCAATGGGGCATGGCTTCCTGTGTCGGGGGCATGTGTAGTTGCTTGGAGGGGTATAAGACCGGAGCAGTGAGCAGGGTTCACAGGTGAGAGTCACTCAGTGCTCTGAAAAACTGGACTTTTAAACGATGACTTTAGACCAAGGTGTAACAGACTCATGACGGTGGGGAGGCTGACTTGAGAGCACTGGGGGAGCATGCCTAGAAGCTGGGACACTTAGGAGTCTGGCTCATGCAGAAATCTGAGTGAGAAATGGTGACGCTCCAGATAAAGCGGTGGTAAGACCAAAGGCATCAAGAAGCAACAGTTAGAACCAGACATGGACAATGGACGTGAATGGGGAAAAGAGTACGAAAAAGGCTACATATTGTCACTCTGTTTATTTAACTTATATACAGAGTACATCATGTGAAATGCAGGGCTGGATGAATCACAAGCTGGAATCAAGATTGCCAGGAGAAATATCAATAACCTCAGATATGCAAATGACACCACCCTTATGGCAGAAAGTGAAGAGGAACTGAAGAGCTTCTTGATGAAAGTGAAAGAGGAGAGTGAAAAAGCTGGCTTAAAAGTCAACATTCAAAAAACTAAGATCATGGCATCCAGTCCCATCACTTCATGGCAAATACATGGGGAAACAATGGGAACAGTGAGAGACTTTAATTTCTTGGGCTCCAAAATCACTGTAGGTGGTGACTGCAGCCATGAAATTAAAAGATGCTTACTCCTTGGAAGAAAAGCTATGACCAACCTAGACAGCATATTAAAAAGCAGAGGCATTACTTTGCCAACAAAGGTCCGTCTAGTCAAGGCTATGGTATTTCCAGTGGTCATATATGGATGTGAGAGTTAGACTATAAAGAAATCTGAGCACTGATAAATTGATGCTTTTGAACTGTGGTGTTGGAGAAGACTCTTGAGAGTCCCTTGGACTGCAAGGAGAGCCAACCAGTCCATCCTAAAAGAAATCAGTCCTGAATATTCATTGGAAGGACTGATG